AGCACGTACTAAATACATATAATTATCTTGAAGGGCTGGTAATATTTGTACTTTCATATTGGAATGATCTACTGTTGCACTCAGGCTATGCAATCTGCCATTGACAGAAGCACTCTTTGCTGAAATATTACAAAGAGAATAAGTAATTTATAAAATGTATGCACATATAACTTTTGATGGATGAACATGATTTATCTGATACACTTTTTCAATCATAAATTTGAAAATATTGATTAAATATTTAAATGTAAAATAAAAAAAGCGGTAAAATAGATAAATTAAAAAATCGACAATGTAATGCAAGGCAAAATACTGATACTAGTAGCAGTAAACACACAATAATGTACATACGGTAGCTACAAGATGATGTAAACGGGCAAATATATAAAACATACCCCTAAAATACAAAAACATGAGTTTATTTTCCAGCCATGTTGGACATGCACGTAGTGCAAGACGAAACATGATGACAAAAAATTCGATGCCTCATTTATTTTGTGCGCACAAACTTGTCACTCTTTAGATCTGTTCTTTTTAGCTAAATTTTTGCACCAATTTATCTTTTTTCTTCTTTTTTCCTCTTGAAGAGAAAAGGAAGAAAGATGAACTAGTGCAAAAGTTCAGCTAAAAAGAATAGGTTTTTCGCGACTTGCCTAATAACGTACAGTAAGTAAAAAGCTGCTTGCGTTACTTTGGTATATCTAGAGTTTTAAGTCGGAAACAATTAAAAGTAGAGAGCACAGGGCTACATTCAGGAATTACGTCCAGATAACTGTAAGCTATAAGTTACGTCACGTATATTATAGCAAAAATGCATCCTATGCAAGAAAATATATAATGCATTAAAAACTCAACTCGTTCAATAGAAGAGAGAATAGGTGCATCCAGAAGTACGACCGCTCACTGAGTGCTCAATGAGCTTTTGTATCTGTTTGGTTTATATTTTTAAATCTAATGGAATATGCCAATCAGATGCAAGAGCTCATTGAGCACTCAGTAATTGGTCATGCTTCTGGATGCACCCATTGACCTTAGTTTACGGATAGCAAGCAATGTAACGTTGTACAATGCTATGAAGACCTGCGCAAAACGAACGAGTTTTCGTCCGATCTACAGTGTAAGAATAATAGGTGATTCCACTTATCCATTTTTGATTAGAAAAGCTGTGACGAAATTGAGGCAGTTCAGACACGTAACATTAGAGGGCATAATGGTCTGACATTAACCTCATACTCTGCTACATCGATTCCGTTCGCGATCGCCGAGAAGGAAGCACGTGTGGATTTTCATATTTAGGATATACGAAAAGTTAATCTTGACTTATCTAATTGACATGTTTCTCCTTCCTTTTGTTTAACGTTTGATAACTTTTTAAGATACACATTGCATGCAAGCCAGAAAGTGCATCATGTCAGCATAAATTTTACGATCGTGTGATTGAGCCTGGAAAATTGCTTGGGCTATACTAAGTTAAACCTTTCGAAAAAAAAAAACCGAATTACTTCGACAGTATTGGCGCTTATTCTACGATACTAAATATTAATTTAATTTTCTTATCTACTTATATTACGTTACATTAACGTTACGTTATATTAAGTTACATACCGACATGTATCTTTAATTTTAGAATGTTCGATGAAAATCTCGATGCTTATTCGACAAACAATAATTCATTTATATTGTACAATGTAAAACTTAATGTATTAATAAATGTACATTTATTAGTACATTTCCATCGTCTTGTAATGTTTACAAGATATTAACTAAACAACACAAATGCAAATGGAAAATACATATCTATTAAAAACTCATCTTCCACATTTATCCATTTAATTTAGAATTTTAGAAAAAAATGAGAATAAAGTAAAAAACATGAAATTTACTCATCAATTTTTCCTTGTTCTTCGTCTGGCTTATTTGATATATGGTATTAAATTCATTTATTATCAGTAATGATGACCTTTGCAATCTTTCTAATTCACAGTCATTTAAGTGGTGTTTCTTTTTATGATTCAAATCTACAGCATATATCCTCTTCCACGATCTTCCTATTGCCCACCAATCATGTGTAATAAATGTACTAATAAATAATGAAATTATTATATTTATTATGTTTTCACTGACCTTAATCCTACTCCTGTCTCTTGAAATGCCGCGGGAAAAAAATATTTATATATAATTATATATAATTACATATATTTATTATGTGTACAAAAAAGTTCTGAGCTTTAGATTTGATACAACCGAAATAACAATTTAAATTTTATATATCTTCCCGCCCTTTTGGGGTTTTAAAACAGTAACATTTAACCTCCTGAAATGCGATACGGTTTGGCGTTTGATGCACATAACCTCAAAAATCAGTAGTGTTCACGATGGCAATTACAAAAGAGCATATTCGATTTTCCATCCACTTCGCGTTTCATCTGAAGAAAAATGCTGCTGAAGCCACT